TTGACAACTTCATGCCAATCTTCAAACGATACAAAATGTCAAAATTATATGACATTGCGACCACTAGCTTATAAAATGCAGTTGCAGTTGCTTTTGAACCTAATTTCGAAATTTTAAAGCAATGAAAAAATCAAAATTTCATCTATTAATTACAAATATCGATTTTTTTACGAGAATAAGTCCTGAGTTGAAACGTGTTTTTGCGAATCTTGCGCGTCGGATAGGCATATAAATGCATGATTTGGGATAATTTTAAACATAATCGTACGGACTCCGGCCATGTTGGCGCCCAAAATCGGCAGTTGTTCTAGAAAACATAAAAAAAGCGTGCAAAATCGCTTTGGAAGATCGAAAACAAACGTTGCATGCGATAGATGACACTTTAAAGATATCAGAAGGCATTGCATTTACTATAACGTTGTTGATGACTCCAAGCGCTGTTCGGATTTGAATCGTCCGATATGTGACAGTAAATAAATTAACATAGGTTCGTCACTATACTCCAAAATTGAATTGACAATTAGCCGTGTCCACGACGAATAGATGAAAGCCGTCCAAAGCGAATAAAAAATTGACGTCACTTAGACACTTAAAATTTGTAAACTAAGTGTCGGAATGTCTTCAAGTCGTAACAGGTATCGTTTGAACATTGGTGTAGTATGCAGAAATCGTGTGAGCAAACCAGCAGGATCGCAATTATGACCGGAGACTGGAGACCGGAGACCGGCGACTTATTGACCTATGTGATATATCGCATACAAGTCAATCTTTAGGAACAAACTTGCTATTTACTTCAAAATTACTTCATTATTTAATTATTGCCATGTAAATCAATATTTTTACAAACTTGTTAACATTTACAGGCGAATCATCCAAATGAACCAAAGCAAATATTTGCTTGGGATTTAAATATCATTGCATTGAAATTTTAATTAAACTTACTTGTTGTGTCTATATTTAAGGAAAGCTTTTATGCACAAATGAACCCTTAAGCATATAACGTCTGCTGTTGACTTCAACAAAAAATATTGATTCGAAACACGTCATAGCCATAAATGGAAATCTTTATAAACTCGTCCTTTATAGTGATTTGAAGTAAAGTTTAACGTTTTTTCTTTTTTTGATTTTAATAATATAAACAAAATAATAAAGTTAATTTAAAGGAAGTTGAGTCGGGCAAGGCCGATCGTTGAACAGTCCACGACAATTTTCCTAATACAAAAAATTGTACATTTCTTTCAATATAAGGAGATAATTTTCAATGGAGCACTATATATAGAAAGTCTGGAAAACGTGAACTGATGTGTTCCAAACTTCGTAAAATGCATTTTACCATCAAAGATTTTATTATTCGTTTCAATGTCGTTTATCAAATACTAAAAATTACATTTTTTTTTTTTTTGATATGCAAAGGCTACAAATTGGCATCGAAAACATAGACCTTCTTGATCCAAATTTGATTTTTACGTCAAATTACAATTGTGAATCTATTTTCATCATATATCAAATATTTAAAATGAAACCTTTCTGCCACATATATAAAGGCTTGTCTTTCATAGGAATGTTTACATGGAAGGGAATTGCAAAAATTGACCGATTCGGTTGAAATTTTTTACATCAGTTTAGAACGCCAAGCACAAATACTCTACAATACTTGTCGAGGAACTCTAAAGATTGCAAATTTTGTTTATATAACGGCCAATATCATTCCGGAAAACCCTGCTAACCAACCCCGGTCTGTTATTTGAGTACCAAATTTTTTCAAAATATCTCAAAAATGCGCCACCTAAAGGTTTAGCACGAAACTATATGGGCAGATATTGGATGTGCAGTTAGATGGACAGAATAGCAGAATAGACAGACGGACGGACACGATTCTGATCGATGTAATGAAAGATGTATATGGCTTCAATCTTTCTTGATGTTACATATACCCGCACAAACTGAAAACATCCTATAAGACGGATGATGTAGGCATACATATGTGGCCTCGACAATCAACCAAATATGTAAATATGAAACCGGAATTTTGCGTAGCAAACACACTTTACACATGAAAATGGTAAAAAAATGTTTTATTCGAAATATTACCCGTCGCTAGTTATACATATTTCCCACCTGTCTGATAGATTGCTGTTAGATACTAAGCCAAAAAAAGATGTTGCTGTATTGACACAAACCCATCATCCAGCTATTTTCCTTTGTTTTCTTAAGAAATCAAACGCTGCTCAGCGATGCAAAGAATTGGTAATTGGAAGGATCCAAATTTGATGGGTAAGCCGTATGGGTTAGCACTTCCCAAGTGAGCACTTCCAATGTGTCGCGAACCGTTTTCCCCATACGGACAGATGAATGGATGCAATGTGGAGAAAAGAATCTCTTGTCGCCTTTTTATATAATCTACTCGTTTTTTGAACGGCGAACGGCGGTTAAACTCTACTAATTGTTGTTAAGAGCGTTTAGTATTAGCCGTTTCTTTAACTTTAACAGCTAATGAAAGGCCGTAGTTTTCTGGATCTATTATACACAGAGTTTGGCAACTCTTTGCCGAAGTCATTCAGTCTCGTAGTCGATGTATGCGCTATAGGTCTTGCCATTATAACTGGCTATTGTTGCCACATGTCCACGTTACTATAAAAAAAAAAAAAAAAATTTCAGGCATATATGTCCTCTGCATGATAGCTACGGTCGTCCGTATGTCCGTATTGGGCAAGGCCTAAATATAAGCAAGGACCTAATAATCTTAGAAATAAACGGTTAATAAAAAATTCTTCGTCTTTTAGACTAATTGCTCGCACTCATATTGGTTAGTGGGGCATATTGGTAAGAAGAAGAATGACAAGAATCCATACAAGCGTAAACTTTCACATTTTAGGCCATATATTAATAATAATTAAATTCCAAATTTGTGTTCGTCCTATGAGTAGCATCCCCGTGGTTCATAGGATGATACGTTCGAAAGGTGTTTGACGAGAAATATCTGTTTTTTATGGTGAGATTTTTAACTTCTTTAGCTCGAGTATGCATATCAGCGAAAATACTATCAAAGATATTTTAAATTCTGAGAATTTTATGCAGAAAATTTCAATAATAAAGCTTTCATTAAAAAGTTACGTCACCAGTTTCTTTTTGTTTTAAGATAGATTGCCCTATTTTTTGGCTTAGAAGCGTGTGGAAAAGTGTGCGGGTGCCAGAATTAGTTTAAGAGTGACTGTGGCCTAGAAAACAGAATCGTTCGCGAATGCATTCATATTTCCCAATCAAGGTCGAAACGAATCCTTTAAGATTTCCATTCTGTACCACTTGCAGCTTGATATATAACAACCTTCATAGGAAGGTTGAGCTCGAACTTCGAATTCCTACTTCAAATTTGCTAGACATAACGGCAAAAAAGTAAAAGCTCTATCAAGAAACTTTTAAGTTAAATCACGTGATCTCTATGCATTAAGCTTAAATTATAAGTAAATTAATTTACTACACACTATCATACGCTTGCTTGATGATAGAGGTTTAAGCCTTTAACGGCTTTAACGATTACGGCTACCAATGTGCACGTTTCGATCGAGTATCGATAGAATTTCTACTTTTTCTTTTATTTTTCGACGGCTGGTTGAACAATCCAGTAGCACTCTCAGAGAATAGGGTTTTTCATAAATAAAACCAATTTTCTTATAAATTCGTAAATTATTGAAGTAATAATTGCAACCGTCTTCCAGCGTATGACAATTTTGCGATATCTTTACATTTGTAAATATCAATATCTTACGTCAGAACTGAATAATTCTAAGGGATATTTAGACATTTACTACTCTCCACTTTTAAATCCAAGTTGACCTAAACGAATCGCACGCTAATGACTGAAAAGCTGACTACTTCTTAAACCCTCTGATATTATCGATGCAAGCATTTTGCAACAACGATAATCATCCATTTCGTCAGCGAAACTTAGAACATCTTACAGCGACGCTAAAACCAGCTTAAGTTTGAAATTATCTTCGGCTTAATTTGTTAGATGATAGACTTCTCTGCATAGTGCTTACCGAGCGGAGCTTAGTTTGACTACGAATCAAGCCATAATTGAGTCATCAGTTGCAATCATAAAACACTCGCTACCCTCGAAATCGCTAAATTGCAACAGAACGTTTACAACGACGTTTACAACGACATTCTATTGCTATTAAAGGAGTGACATTATATTTAAAAACATAATTTATGCAGCGAAGACGAAGTCCACGCACAGCCACAGAGAAGGTCGCACCATTACTTATGCTCATAAACACGGTATGAATAAAAAAAACAAGAAGAAGAAGACGACGAAGAAAAGTTGATAATAACTAACTTAATAAAAAAAATTTGTACTTAAAATCAAAACCTTAAAGTATCGCCGTAGCGCAAAAATAATAAATTCTATCTTCTGCCATATATCGCATAAAGCATCATTCTTACACATACAAACTGACCATGAATAAGTATTCTCCTTAATGGCACCTCTCACACGAAAGTCTGTAAAGTTTAAATAAAGAGGACAGAGATAGCAAGAAAATTTTTGCAAAAAAAGTAAGTTTTTAACTGCAAATCTCATTATGCGAACAATCGTTGCTGTCTTAGCGACAGACGCACTTAACCGTTAACTTCGTTTTTCACATTATGTTCTATCACAAATTTTTTATTCTTCCAACTTTCAGCCGTGCGCATTTATATGCCATATAAATATATAAGGAACACTTAATACTGCTGAGAAAAGTCTCGACCGGAAAAGAAAACAATAGAAAAGGAAATTTTAAACAAAGCAGCCATTGTGTTATAGTTTTAAAAGAATGCGAAGGGTATAGGCAACTAAGGGATGCAAGAGTAGTCTCTAAAGTGCATAGGAATACACTTCACAAGCTGGCTTATATATACTTAACCTCATTAGAGGTGTGAGTTACACACCAAGTTGATTCAACTATATATATATGTATATATATGCGATGTACTGTAACGCCTCACTTTACTTTCAGAACTTTATTGTACGAGGATCCAGTCAACCCAATACGATGGCCGTATCAGTGCGTTTACCACCCGACACAGGGCCGTACATCGAGCACTATTTGATTCAGTCAAACGATGGCATTTTATGTTTGGAGAGTTCAAGATTTAAGTTTGATTCCATACCTGCTCTAATAGCTCACTATGCACAATGCTGCGATGAACTGCCCGTGCAATTGGTGTTACCGCGAGCGTTGCGTGAAGCAAAAAATCGACAGCAGTTGTCTTCATTGGCTCTGTTGGGGCAAGAATTTTGGCGGTATCCTATGTCTTGTCCTAGTAAGCCTAATGAGCAAGAGGCTAACTTTTTAGATGCCAAGTCTCCAAGTTCGGTTACCGATACTAGTGGCTTAGGTACCACCGTGTTTAGCAATTCCGGCGGAAATTTTAATAATAATCCGCAATCTCAATCAGCTAAGGTTTTCAGTCCTGTTAATAATTTAGGCGGTGTATTTAGTCAAGCAGGAACTCCATCAGATACCACATCAAGCATGAGTTCATTTACCACTAGCGGAGGACAACATATGCAGCTTATGAGTCCGGAATCTGTAGATTCTGTGATTCTCACAATGTCACCAGTTGATCTCAACAATCCACGCAATGCCATAATCGGTTTAAGTGGAAACCACAACGATGTACTGAATGCTTCAACTAATAGTTTAAGTACATTTAAGGCTAATAACTCTAATGTAACACAATCGAGCTTCAAAAACGCTATAGATCTCGAAAAGCGAACGCAAAGACCGAAACCACCCAACACACTCAATTTGGATTTACGTAAACCACCGGCTCCACCAATGCGATGGTCAAAGCCCCTATCCCCTACAAGCCCACAACCGCCTGATCAGACCTCTCTGACTACTTCAAATAATTTTACTGTCACCACTACGGTCACCTTTTCCGTAGACAATGCCCCACAATTTGTTGAAGTCACGACACCTGCTGCCAATAATTCCCTTAATTCAGTTATAAATTCAAATGCCACCTTTCAAACGTTTTCAAAACGCCTGTCACCGGAAGGTGAATGCAAGGATACACTATCATCGCAGGGATCATCGGCAGGCAGTCGATGGCAATCACAAAGCAGTAAAGATTCCAATAACAGCCAACACAAGATACTCTCACCTTGCTCGGTGGGCACACCCACCAGTCTAGTAGGGTGCGGAGGTGGCAAATCACGCAAATCAAAGGCTCGAAAGGAATCAAAACATTACCAGGAGTCCGATATTTTGGAAAGCCCAGAAATTTACTGCCGGAGTACACTACACGATAAAATTAGTGATTATGAAGACTTATGGTCTCATGACCCCAGTGATAGAGCGGGATTGTTGAGCAGTTTCAAGCCACCTGATGGCCAGCGAGGCAAGCGGCCAGACTTATTAGCCGAGACTCGTGCGTATATAATAAAATACCTTCAAAAAATGTCCCGATAATTTACTTAATATTTTTCTTTTCTTTCTTTTTTTTTTCTTGTTTTCAGCGACAATCATAACCCGCAACACTGACATTACTTCATCTACCGTAACAACTTGCCCGCCAATTCAACCAAATGTTGACATTCATCCTCTCGATAACACCTCGGATACGCAACAATTATTGCAATTTTCAGTAGAACCTCAACCCAGGTCTAGAGCAGGTCTCATTTTACCGGGTCTCATGAGTCAGTCGCTTTCTGAGGATCAAGTCTTTAAAAACGAAACAACAGAAGGTGACACCACACCTACAGCTCAAACACCAGTATCGCGCAGCAAACAAGGCAGTCCCTTCTATGCTGAACCGGCTGATGCTTTAAAGCAGGCTGCTGTTACCGCTAGCAGCATTTTAAGGCGATCACAACGCGGTGCTCTTTTGCCGGCCAATCATCGCCATTCAGAACCGCCTAAAGGAGGTTTCGTACGTAATCCCATATGCCCAATGTTAGTCCCATCTGAAATAGAAAAAATAGCGGGCAGTCTAGATGAACTTAAGAAGAAACAGCAGGCCCAACAACAAGCGCAACCTCAACAGCAACCCTCAAAACGAATTCGTGGACGTTTCGAACAATGGCAACTAGATAGCAGTTGGGAGTTTATGGGTAAAACTGATGAAAACGAAGGCAATAGTTATGGGGATTACGACTCGTCAGATCAATGGAAAGAAGCGCCTGTAAAAGACCACCAAAGTCAAGAAAACGACATAGAGCGTGACGCAAGCAAAGAAAACAAACAGAAACCCATTACAGTGCATCAAATAATAGCGAAACGCTTGCCAAATTTAAATTTGCCCGAACTAATACGATGTTCAACCCCACCCCAACAACAGCAAAAACAACAGCCGCAGCATTCTAATAAGCTAAACAGTGACTCGCAGGGTCAAACAACAAACGAGTCACAGAATAATGGTTATCGGCTATCTTCGTACGACAATGTAGAACGTAACTACGTACTCAATCAATGTCTGTTCAATGGACTGGATTCAGCCCAATCGGATGATGGTACGGTTTTTTCTGAACCCTGGGACTCATCCCAGTGGGACTCTTTTATGCCTCACGACGGTAACGCAGAATATTCCAACAAGTGAAGTATTTCGATACGATTGATTTAAAATTTTGTTTAATATTTTCCAGATACTACCACAACATCGGATTCAATTCATTTATCCAAATGTCGCCCTGTTGTATCTGAGGATGATACCATCATTGAGGAGCTAAATACCAAAGAAATAGACAATCAGGATACATTAAAGCCGAAAAAGACTTGCACAAGGCACGCTACAATTTTGAGAAATCCCAGCATTAGGGATCGCGAAATTTTATGTAAGTGAATTTTTCTATTTATTTCAATTTTTAAACTTTCATGTTAATCTACCCTTGCATTTAACTTAGGATAAGTAAATTATGAATTGATTTAGAGGGGACTATAATAACTAGCCTCTTCGGTACAGCGATATTTGAATAGGCGGTATAAGTGACATGACGAAAGTTATAATAATTATAATAATGAAGTCATTAACTGAATATTTTTGTTTGCAATTACATACATAAAGACAGCATTTCTGGTACGTAACAATGGCTAAGAGCAATTGGATATGTGCGAATGCATTATACTTCCGGATATAGGCTATTAATGTCTATCGTAATCCTTGATAGGACAGAAGATGAAAATGTGCATCTTGGGATTTATAAGAATATCTGATATCAGGATAGCGAATGAAGGGCGTAAGCAAAGTTTCAATTTTACCATTCAATAACCTAAAACGATTTAGAATCGCCTTTAAGAAATGCATTAGTTATAATTAAACCAATCCTGTTCTTTCCAGATATCAGAAATCATGAACGTTTAACACTAATCAAATCATGGTGTGTCTTTGAGACATATATTAACTTTGAACTTTAGTTTTTTGATTATTTATTCAAAATATATATTTGGGCCTATATATAATATTTTACGCCTGCACGTATGTAGCTTTTATTTTTATTATATCCATGACTCTCATTGCGTCACCTGTTACGATTGCAATTAAAGCAAATAACAACATGAAAGCAATATGGGAGACCGCATTTTTCCTTACTATATTACATTTCAGATAACTGCTGGATGATACAAGACTTTCATTCATTCATGACACTTGAAACTTCAAGACAGAATTTAGTCCTTGCAAATCGCATCATCTTCGGTAGCAAGAAAATCTTGATAAAAAACAAGAGTAAGGCAAAAAAGACGCGAGAAAGATAACAAAAAATACGAAATCGTTATGAATTCCTTCGTAAGATCTAAAATTTCAAACGGTGTTCATAGCCGTTTGGATTACCTAAATGGGAAAATGAATGAGAAAACGCCAAGCTTGTAAAGTAAAAAATTGTTTTCAATACCGCAGAACGCGATAGAGCCAGAAAACTCTGCAACCCAACCATCGTAATCCAATTAAAAATGTTGCCATCTGTAACTTGGACAGAAGAAACTTACGGCAATATTAAAATGATTTAATTGGCTAACCCAGTCGTGGTTAGATTTCAGGCAAATCGTCCGGCATTGCATTTCAACTTTGATATTTATTTACCGCAGAAACACTAGATAAAGCGAATTGATCTTAAAGAGAAACTCATAGAAATTCATGATAGAGGCATTTTCAACAACATTGTTTATGGATCGGCGATCGCCTGAAAATCCAGTAACATTTACTTAAGTTTTGGGCAAGAAGCTGACGACGTTGTGATTGGTCGGTCGATCAACAAAAAATTTACATAAATGTCGTTAGCTTTATTTCCGTTAGCTTTAAATGCGGCATTCAATTACACAATTCGCGTTTTACGTTTAGCTGCCATATATGACCGCGGAACGATACTTATTCTATTTTTAAAATTGAGAATATTTTAATTGCTATGATCATGAGCGCGCATTCACCGCGTTGGAGGAAGTAGGTTTTTCGATTTCTTCCATGAAATTGTTATACGTTTTCCATACTTTATTAACTATTAATCGATACCCAACCGACACGCGTGCACATACTTACACATCTCGATTGGCATCCCTACATTTCTCTCTTAGATCACAATTTCATTGTATTTAGATGATGGTCTGTCCGTCCGTCTGTTCGTCTAGTGCAGATAAGCCACATGTATGCATTGCATGCTAATAAAGAAAACATGCATGTGCTGTAATTCAAGCTGCACGAGAGTGTGAGCTACACTTCGCAACTTGCATTTATTTTTTTATACAAAGTATTTTTTCTTATACTTTTTTAAATTCACTCTTATATTTTTTTAATACTTTACTTTTTATATAGGTGGTCCAAAAATCTATTCATTTTGCGAATGCAGAGTGTAAATTAATTGGTCCCAAACGCGCCATTGAACGATACAAATGAAATGCTTAATTATTCGTTCATGATTAAGGACTTTCTCATGCATAGATACGGTGTTCAATAGTCCGGATTAAATGATACTGACATAACACAAGATTTCAATTTCAAATCAGTGTTTCTTTTATCAGGCAAGAATGTACATAAGAACGCAGTGAAAACGCATATTGCGTCGCAATTTTTTTTTTTTTTTTTGCGTTCAGACGCATTTTATTAATGTATCGTTTATGTGTTAAGGCAAAACCATAATTAGGTCCGTAAAGTTCAAATACATACTGCTTTCAATACCGGTTAAAACGAGTTTCGCTCGCATTTATTGGATGTTCCGTTTTGAAATTAATCATTTCTTTGAAGGCTTTCCCCACACAAAATGCTCTTCCGCAATTAATTATTTGATATTTACAACACCGCGATATAGGAAAAAATATTTACTCTTTGCTAAGATTATAACCCGAAGATGATTTTGCCTTTTCTAACATAAGGGATTAGAGAGATGTCGTTGGTATCGTTGAATATGTGCGAAAACACTGATCCCTTTACACTTTATTCATTATTTAAAATTGTCTTTTCATGTGACTAAAATCTCTTAGTGCAGGAATTTTCAATTCCCACTTGTCTTAAATAATACTTCAATAATAGATATTTATTATTACTCTATGACTCCATTATGTTCTCATTATCGAGGCTAACCTGCTCTGATAGATGGTAAAAATCACATGCTCGAAATATCGTACAACCTCCGTTGACTGTGTAGAATCTTCTTGTGCAGCATTTCATTGCCACAAGCTTGACTCGCATTCTCCTCTTCGTGAATGGTGAAACAGTAAGTATTGAGTTGAGTACTGCAGTGAGTGTTGTGCGTATTGTTTATCAACTCCATTACTGTCCCCTATGTTCACATTTTGGAAGTACTAAAAGTGTGCGTATGTGTACATAAGAAAGTTAGCTAAGAAAAGAATCTCGAAGCCTAACAGCAGACAATTTTCATTTGGAATTCGATCCAAATTCTTTGATGAATGGATGACAAAATATAACAAAATCTGAATTGAGTTGCCCACGTTTTTACCTAGGACATCAGTTACGGAGTAGGTTGTCATTTATTCATGGTATTTACGATAATTGTACAGATGCTTCATGGTATATTCCAAGTAAATCAGTGAAAAATGTGATCAGATGTCCTCAAGAGGGAGAACATAAAAGCAGAGTTGACGTACGTGAGCAGAAAATTTCATGATTGAGCCGAAAATATATTCATACAAGATTGTAATGATACCCACTCCGTTTTTTCTATGTCTTAATGCAATAAATTTTTCGGAAAAAAATAATTCCATCAGCGCATGCACGGTACGATTTGTCATATTCAATTCTAGACAATGAGTTGATTAGAAAATGAATAGTTTAGGATATTATTGGTTTTCAATCCACCAATTATCGTTCATATTTGATGCGCATCTCCGCTGAGTTCATTTCGTCACTTTTTTCAATGCAGTTGTCAAACAGCATACAATCGCTGCTGTCATTTTAGTCCCCGCCAAAAATCCCCATAGATTATGAATCACTTGGATATATATGGCGCGGGGTTTTGAGGGGTTTTTCTTATTCTCATAACACGAACACGATGCATCTTTAATACATCGCTAATGAATGTACACACTATCCGCAGCGACACTGTGTAGATCGACAAAGTATACCAATCCGAACCATTTTCAATAGAGTTCATCCTTGGGTCATAGCACGTCGATGCACCAAATTTCATCAAAATATCTTAAAAAATGTGAGCTATACGTTGAACGCATGATAAATGGACAAAAAAGCTTAGATCGATTTGGAAAATAATTTTGGAGCTATCTTAAGTCCTTGTAGGTATTACATAAGTCCACATAAACTTAATATATGCTATATTTTCAGCGGGGCAGAGCAATATAAGTTAGTTATTTTCTTGATTACTTTCTTAAAGTTTAGGCGGCTCAAGCTTCAGCCTCATATGTCGCTACAACTTATTATTTATATTTTGTACTTCTGCGTAGCTATTGCATTACATTATATCTGTTATTTCACTTTCAATGTCTTGAAATGTGAACCAAAACCCTCAACTAGCATTTATTTAGGTATGTATGTACCATGGCAATATAAAACGCTTTATCTGATTAGGTACAACAAACAGTCTACCTAACTGATGAAATCACGATAGCGCGTTCATAGAAATTGTTTTTCTGTTGGTTTTGAAAATAAGCAAATTTATCTGTAGACGCGACGCGCTCTTAATGAATAATGAAACCGCGAATCAACAGTTAATAGCTAACAATGAGTTATGACTTAACGGACATGCAAGAAAGAGAAAGAGAAACGTATCTCTTTCTGTTTATAATTATCAGACAGCAAAATATGTTTGCTCTGAAAGAAGCACATTTCCAAAAATTGTAATGAAAGTATTGAACGTTTTGTGTACGAAACAGCGCCGATGCGGTCCCAAATTGCAGCAAATCAGGCTGCACAGCATTTGTGCATACACATGTGACAACTTTTTATTATTCTAATCTGATATGATAAACCGTGTACTCTTTTGTATTGCTGCTTTTTTTTTTTTTTTTTTTTTTTTTTTTTTTTTTATTATTTACATTAATTAAAATAAATCTTTTGTTGTTTCAGTGCTGATAAGTTTATCACAAACATTAGATAAAGTGTCATATAGTTAATGATTGGCCGGCAAATATTTACAGACCTTTAAGATTTCACTAAGGTTTATTTTTTATAATAAAAATATAATTTCGGGGCAGCATTGAAAACGTGTGTCTAAAAATAGTAAGTGTTTTTTTTTTTCTCTTTGTTCATAGAAAAAAGGTTATTCCGATTGAGACTGAGAGCTTTTGTGTAAAGTAAACAAAAAACGGAAGCAAACGAAACTTTGAAGGTCATAAAGTTAAAAATTGGGACTTGCCTTAGGTTTAGGTTTATTTACATATATACATCTTGTAATCCATCATGAAAAATCTGGTAAATACAAACTCGCGCGATACGAGAACTCCTTATGAACACAAACAAGTTCATTTGTCAGTCGATATGAGTGATATTAAATTTTACTAATCACAATGATTAAGAAATGAATTGTTTGGAGCAGTTCGCAGCTGCCTTCCATCTAATGTGATGCTTTTTTTCAAATAAAAACAAAAGCAGATAATTCATCAAAGAGGAATAGAACTTTGTATCTTTTAAACGCTTATCAAAGACTTGACTTATTACTGTAAGAATACAAGAATCCCTAGCAGCAGATTCTCTTCTTGAACACTCATCAAAGGAAACGAGCAAAATAAGTTATCTCGTAATCTTCATTCGAATAGAAAAGTATTGCGATAAGATATTATCTTTCATAAAATGTGACTCTTTCAATTATGCTTGAAGGCAATGAAAGAAAGTAGTTTAAAAAGATCGCGTATCCAGGCTCTGCTTAGTTATTCCCATCACATTGCTTAGAGGGCTTAACTTTTAGCGCCGTTGAGGTCCGAGCTTAATTTAATCCGTCTTCATAGATCGCCAACTATTGCAAATTAGATAGGTTGGCTGAAAAATTTTCGACCCGAGCATGAAGATGGTCGCATATGTCAACCAAAGTCCATACAAACACACTGTACTGAATCAATTTGGGTGTTTTTGAATGGCAATACGTTTACTTAAGTTGAGGACGAATTGAACGCTGTATACCATATAGGGAAATTTTTAATAGCTAAATTGGGTGAGACAATGAACGTTCGGGATAATTAGAACCGGTGACCACTGATGGAAACATCGCTCAAATTCACCAAATGATTTTAAAAGATCATTAAGTGAATCACAAGCGGACGACTACAATGAGCAAACTTAGATGAATGGAAGTTCGATTTTTCGGAATTAACCAGCAGGGACCATGTCTGTTGACAAAATGAAAAGGATTTAGAATAAACTGGACATCGAAGTGCTGGACAACCGTTGAAAGGCTTGTATCACGTGTGCCTATACATATATTGTTTTCTGATTGGTATGGGTGAACATGCAATGTAGCTTCGAGGACGTAGTAAAATTTTAGATCATAATACGTCAAATTTGAATTTATAAACTTAACAGTCGTATCGAGAACGTGTATTTGGAAAATATAATTTGGGTTTTATCGCATTTAAAAGTGATGTATGAACTCATACCGTTGCTTAACTGTTAGAGTTATCTGTTCGGATGTTCAGATCTTTTATTAATTAATAGCCCACTCAAGCCGCCTTCATAAGTATACCCAAATATCATATAACTGTTTAGATATATATATATATATATATATATACATGCTATATATATACATGCTCGTGTATATGCACCAAGTAATAAAGCTAAACGTACAATAATCAAAATTGTCTATTATCTACGAGAACTGAAAGAATCCTGAATTAACCTAACCTCGATTTTCGTACTCTACATTTGTATTTCATTTGAAATCGATACAAAAACTTGCTGATGCAATATTTCAAACGCATTGAATAATATGCATAAAAAAAAAAAAGAAAAAAAAGAAGACCTCAAAATCAATATAACGCAGATCTACGCAGTTCCTTGTAAACGATCTATTGTCTTTAAAAGCAAGCGGAAAACAAAAACCCTAACTAACTAGAGAAATATTTACATTCATTTATTTATCGGCATTCATGTAAACGAATCAATGTTATGGAATAAAATTAACTAAGCTTGAATCATAACAATTTCCTCTTAACCTAGTTTAATAAAATTATACAGATTTTGTTACAATTTCATGAGCGAAACACTTGTTAGACGAAAAGATCCAGATAATGAATGTGTGTGTTTTACATATAGATTAAATATTCATTTATCTAACGAAAATGTGCGTTACATTTGGTAAGTGAAGATTCTTATCACATCTCGTGGATTACTATAAGTTTTAAGCATGTCCACCTATAGTTTCTTTTACCTGAGAGCGCAACATAATTGAAGAGAATTATGTCCAATTAACAATATCATACTGGAATTATGAAGAGAGCTGCATCATATAAACATACATATGTGTAAAGAATAGAGCCCTCATCATAAAGGAACAAACATCGGAGTGTAACAATAATTGTCGTCTCAAGTTCAGTAAAGGAATGAGAATAAAGGAGGAGAGCGCAATGAAATGATTCATAAAACTATTGTAACTATCTGCGAAATGAAACAGAATAAGTTTTGCTGTCGTCCGGAGCATTAAAGAACGTATTCATCACTGAAAAATTTTAATTTAAATAAAATTGTGTTCTGTTTGAAAACAAAAGTGCAAAAAAAAAACAGAATTTTATTATCACGAAATGAATGTGTTGTAACGATTAGTCATTCCATTGAAGAAATAAATTTTACGCACTGTTTATATGAGTAAAGAAAAAGAAAATAAAGAATATATTCATTATTTATATTTTTGAAAATCGAGAAGGCAGACAAATTGTTTGCTTGGCCTTATCGCTTAGTTAAGTGCTCATGAGAAACTTTCGTTTTCGCCAGTTTGTGCTGTCCGGTAAAAACCGTTATCATATAAATCATGAAGTGGTTCAGAAAGTCGTTGCCCGCACCCCACGCGAACCCACATAATCAAACCGAACAAAAATGCGCGCAGAGCTTGACTAAGCAAACTATTATGAAATCGCGGAGCTTTCAAAATTTATCCGATCCGGAGGCAAAAAATAATGCTTCGAAATTGAAAGTAATCAGTAAATCGTTAAGTGTTTTGGATAATCAACGCATAGAGATCATTGATCCCGAAATATTCTTTCAGGATCCGGAACATGTTCGTAACTACAAAGAGGAAGCGCAATTCCTAAGCATTATGTCCGAATGGGAAATTATCGAAAATCCGTCACTAGTGGGCAATTACTTTTCAGCCGATTTTGAGGAGGAATTTTTGCAAATGAAAATACAACAAGATAGCAATTCTGCGACTGTTGGTCTCTCAATTGTGGCGACGGCAACGGCGGTTCATCAAAGCGGCAACAATGCAAGTAATGCATGTTTAGATAACAGTGAAACAACCAAGTGCAGAAAACGGTCATATAAGCGTTCGCTATCTGAAATACTTTTTGCTGTTAAAATCGAAACGGGTCTTGTGCCACCAATGGCAGTAAACGAGTTAAATATGTCGTCGCCGACATTAAATAAAAAACGCCGACGTTTAAAAGTGGATTCATCAGATGAAGATGTTAGCTTATGCATGACAACAACAACGACAACAACAACAGCAGCATCGACATTTAATCAACAAATTATTAAAGACTGTTCGATCGATCGATCTCAATTAAAGACTGAAGCATTAGCCCGTTCTATTATGGGGGCTATAGGAAAGTGTCCTGATCGTGATAAAACCCCCCCAAACTCAATGAGAAATATCGATGATATAAAACACCTGAGTACCGATGTTTGTCACCCGGTCCCTGGCAGCTGTGATCATTATGACATAAAGCAGTTTTTTCGCCTCGATGATTATGGAAACATCTGTTTGAATATTACACATGTAGAGGAAAGTCGAGGTTTTGGGTTTACAGTCAGTCATAACAAAATCGCTTATAAGCGTTATTTGAAAGAAAGCCTGCCAGCAGAAGAGAAGCCAACCTGTCATCGGCGTAGATATTGTGTAGAAATTTTAAAGAACATGTTAAAGGTTTTATGGAATATAATTAAGTGTAAGTTTTAGCAGAAGACCTTAATTTCTTTATACATAATTATGTAATTAACCTTCCTTCTTCATCCATCATTATCTTGATGTCTTCTTATGTGGAAAGGCTTACGAGTTTGTTTATTTATACGCAGGTCATCCACGTAACAAAATCAATATTTACAGTGGCGGTCCGGGCGAATCGTTGCGAGCATATACATTGCAGTTGGCTCAAGATCAGTATACCACTTTTGCACGGAACATAGAAAACTTCATTGCATGCACAAAGGACTCACGGGAAGCCGCCCCACAGGTAGTGATGCGTAATATGCGTCAGTTTATGAATGGTATGAAAAACTACTTGGTCAAACATGGCGAGGGAAAATTCCATCAGGAGGTGGAAGCGGCTCGTTCTCGTCTCAAGTCGGATGAATTCTTGAATTTAGACGCTATTCTTGAAACTGTGATGCATCAATTGGTTGTGTTACCGCTACGCGAACATTTATACGGCATGTTTGTGGACTACTATACACGATCGGAAGATATTCAATTGCTAGCGCAAAATGTGAAATACGCCTGTGGCCGGAACGCTGCCGATTTTGGTATTAGACCATCAGTGTCACCACCTTCCCCTAGCTCCTTACAAGCTATCTCCAACCTATTGTTACGCCTTCAAGAAGCTGAACTGCCACTAGAAAAGTTGGATTTATTCCTGTGTGTCATTTCTACAATATTTGAAGCCACCGGCTGCCCCAGAGGCCAACAATTGGGAGCCGATGACTTCCTACCGGTGCTAGTGTACGTTGTGGCAAAATGCGGTTTCGTAGGAGCTGAAATTGAAGCCGAATTTATGTGGGGTCTGTTGCAACCAACTCTGTTAAACGGTGAACCCGGCTATTATCTGACGGCATTATGCAGTGCAGTACATGTGCTAAAAAGTTTTATGGCTTCGGAAAATGAAAGTGGTTCCGGATCTTTAGATGTAAGTATTAAGCTCTTAAGAAATCTTCTCCAACTTTCCACGGCATGATTTTTATTCGCCTTATGGAAATCTTGTATTTTATATTCTAAATTATGTTTATGCAAAGGCTGTTAAAATGCATTGAGTTTGGCAGGTTTCTTTGAGGTTATGTTGCATCATTTTAGCTATTAAGGCTTTAGCTTATTAAAGTCTACACATTTATGATTTCCACGATTATTTGGACAAGTGAATGTTTGAACATATTGCGAAAATGTACTGCGGTCTTTATAAAATAAAAAAGTGCAAGAAACGAAGACAATACTGCGATTTTACGTAACAGTATTGATGATGATACCCGTCCCGTTAAGAACGCGTATTTTGCGCAAATACTGTGGACTTAAGATCGGAAGCTGAACAAACAATCGTGTTTATGAAAATCACGTTGATTGAAGAACCGCGTCTTATATGTACGAAGAAAGAAGATAACGGACGTGAAGATAAATTTTCCATAGCATCTGTCGTAATTGATTATCAATTGGCATTCAATAGAAGTTGAAAAGATATATTTGAGAGATTTAACTTAAATGCTTTTCAAGTTTCTTCTTTTTCTCTACACCCTTCTATGCCTTTTACTATACGATATTTCTTCTGATGGAGAGCATAAATTAATTTCATTCGTATCTTCTAGTGGCGTTCATCCTCATTACCTGCCTGCTCCTCGGTTCTGCGCGTCATCATACCCGATGAGTGTAACGGCTCATTGCAAACCCGAACACTGCCTGTGCGTCCACACACAACGACGCGCGAAGTTTGTCGTATTATTGCTCATAAAGCTCGCATTACCAATCCACAAGACTACGGGCTCTTCAAGTTGGTCGACGGCGAAGAAACTATTCTCAATGATAACGAATGCCCTCAAGACATACGATTAGCTGCTAAAGGTAAACACTGCATGTTGGCCTACAAACGTATCGATGCCAAAATTGCTTGGCCGACGGCTACACAACCGATTTCGAATTGAGTTCAACAATATTGTAATGTCTTCAAATAAAAGTGTGAAAGTTGTAGGAAATTTCCCCAAGAAGAATTATATAAATAAACACGAACTGCTCGTATATAATCATTCATGATCAAAAACATTTTCTTAAAAAAAAAACAAAAAAAAAAAAAAAAAATTATTCAGCAATTAAATACCAACAATCTTGCAATCATATACAAATACATATATACGTATGTATAACAATTGCATTTTATATAATTATGTATTTTTATGCTATTTATTGAAAAAATACATACACAGCCATATACGAAGGTGGATGTGTGCATTACACATGTATATGTAACTTCTTTTAAAATGTACTAAAAAATGTATTAAGTATTTATTAATAATAAGTTTTACATAACAAGCCAATTAAAATGCGTAAGAAGGTACTCTAAAGAGGGATAAGAAAAAAGACAAATTTATCACAAAACTTAAAAACACTTTCAATCAGTTACATTATAAATATGTACGTGCTTATGTACTAAAGAAAAGACCAACTATTTGTAATAAAAAAAAAAAAAAAAGATTTGTAAAGTTAATTAAGCTAAACGTAATCTTCTCAAATATATATATATATATATGTATATACATACATATATATAAACTTCCTTTTTTATATTAAAATATTTTTAAAACAAAAAAAAAAAAAAAAATATATTAATAAAAGCTACAATTAATAAATTCGATGCAAATAAATATTGTTTATTAATTTTTCACATTTTACTTTATTTTCGCTCTTCATTTTTGCGGAAAGCCATGCACACCTTTCCATATGCAGTCTTTTTTGCGGTACCCTTTTGTTTAACTATTAAAAATGTGAATCTATTTTTTCCTTTTTTATTTGTATAGCGCTTACGATTATCGTTTTTGGCATGTGATTAACATTTTGCAAATTATCACGATTTGTTGTTAATATTTTATTGTTTTTATTTTTTTTTACCTTTTATTAATAAATAACGTATAAGTCATCATCTAATTACTAGATCTTAATATTTATATTAAAAAAACAAAAAACAAAAAAAAAAAATACAACAACATACAATCTTACAATTTTTTTTTTTTCTTTTATTGGTTTTGTAATTATTTGTAATTTAAGCTAAACATGAATACAATTCGCAAAATGCATACATATGCACATACAAGCGCATGCATTGTCAAGCAGCATAAAATGCAACATTGAACAACAACTTGTCAAGTCACGAGCTTAATTTTCGCTCGAAGTACGTACGTATTGTAATTTATTTAGGAGTTTGCTCAATGTATTCTCAAACACAATTACATTCAAGCATAAATCTGTACATACATACATGTGCAAATGCAAATCAATCAATCAATTTTAATAATATTAAGCAAAAACAAATTGTGCAAATAAAATCTGCAAAATTCGAATTATTTAATCAAAAGAACTCATAAATGTTTTCATTTGAACCCTAATTAATCATTCTAAGGTGCCGTTCTCTATCATACCCAGCGAAATGCGAAGCTGACGGATCTTCTTTCTCGCCAATATACACTTTGCCAGATAAACAAGTGACGATAATGAAAATCGAATGTACAGTCTTATATAACCGGAATACGAAACTGTTCGGCAATACTTGCCTTCCTTTCTTGTACTTCGTACCTATTTACACTTTTCTATACCCATTATTTATTCTTCTAACACAAATCAAAACATAAAAGAAGGCAATTCTCCCTATACATACTGACGTTTTAGGTGGCCCAGAGCAATATTTGTGAAAATTCTTAGATTGCAAATTAAACTTTCTCACTTATCGCGAGAGCACTTTTATATCAATAGCCACGGTAGATTGTAACCTACACTGTTCTAGTTTTTATGGGCGCATTTGTAAGTACATCTCGTCTTCCATTTTCAAAACCGATCTGATGCAGCCAATTAAAGATATATATACAAACTTTTAGTGAGCTTTCCAAAAACACAGGCATGGGTACACAGGCTTACAGGCTTGATTCAGAATCCGCTCTTAAGGTGGCAAAAAAGTGTGTATAATGTGAGCTATCTAAAATTTATATTCTGAAAATAATGACGTAAAGACAAATCGAATGTAGCCTCCTTTTTACGTGTTTGGTGTAAAAGCACTGAAGAAATATCAATGCGAGCTCTCCTTCTACGTAATGTGGTACGCGCTCGTCTATAACATTCGGAGATCGTGGGAAAATTTAAGTTATTTTTTAAAACAACGAGTTTGAGCACATTCAAGGCGGTTAGTTAATAAAACATTGATAGCAAGACGGCTAAAGAATTGAAGAGTATTTAAAGGTAATGCTAACAGCATTTACAAACAATTTTCTAAAACTATGGGATATTGAATTCAATAGGCCAGCACAGAACTGATAAAGTGATTTAATGTTCGGGACGTTTCAGTCTTTGTTATAAAACAATTTAGAACGTTACGCTTAGTGGGTTGTATTCTTTGATGAGTTTTTTGGTGAAAACGCTTGAAAGACGCTCGCCATGCTTTATAACATTTTATTTGAGACCCATATTCGCTTAAAAAGTTTTCCTAGCGTATCTGCTTTGCGCGTTTTTTTCATGTTAGGGGTTTTGAGAATAACAAAATGGAAGACTTCTTTTCATTAAATATCAAAGCTAATGTTAACTAATTAGTATGTCTGTACATATATATGTGCATACCTTGATTTTCAAACGTATAGGCGGGCGATTTCGGATGCAAACAACGCAAACCTTTTAAACGAAGCAGATAAAGACGTAATTATTATTATTAGGCTATATAATAATAAAAACCTTTTAAATTATAAGTATGGCAACATTTGTAAATGAATTTCACTTGGCACTACTTTTTTAGAAACATTGTTGTATGTGATTGAAAGAATTTATATTATTGTTTATTGCTTTGTCAGTAGAATGTGTTATAATTTTAAGGTCGTGTAAATTAAAACAAAAAAAAAAAAAACAAAAATAGAAAATTCTAAATGAAATTATTTAAAAATTTATAAAGTTTTGATTCACTTAAAGGACAATGTTGATGCAATGCTTACAGAACCACGGTCGTTACAAATTGGGCCAATTAATAATTAGTTATCGAACCCGACATTTTTCAACAGGAGGCTATATGAAGAAAAATGTAAAATTACTTAACCAAACCAATAGGCACATTCTGCAAGCGATACAGTTGCCGAAATTGCCATTGATAAGATATACCGGTTACCGAGCAAATGCATCAACACAAAAAGTAAAAGTCAGAAGAAAGGATATGATTCGTCTGATTAGCTTAGCAAAGTCCGAGAAGCTAGTCTTGGCTGGTAAGCTTTACATCGATAAAATACAGGATTGAATTTTAAACAAGCCGGACCTATTTCAGCGGCAATAGGATGTCTTATAATATCGTCAGCCATTACAATGAGTGTGCCATACGCTTTAGGTAAAACGTTGGATATTATGTTCGACAAAGATGACAATCAATCTATGGTCAAATTAAAACATTTTTGTGCAATTTTATGTGGAGTCTTTGTTATCGGCGGATTAGCAAATTTTGGACGTGTCTATTTATTTAACAGTGCCTGTAAGAAGTTCACTTTCTTTCAGCTCGAAAAATTGATGCATATTTGTTATTCCCTAGCCCTGCGTATCGTTCGCGACTTGCGTTTGAGATTGTATAGGTCTATGTTGAATCAGGAAAGTGCTTGGTTCGACCAGAAGGGTAGTGGCGAATTGGTCAGTCGTCTAAACACCGATGCTTATTCTGTTGGGAATTCTTTGAGTCAAAATTTATCCGATGGCTTAAGGTCGATTTGCATGGTTTTAGCGGGAACCGCTATGATGGTAAGCTAAACACGAATTCATTTGAAAGAAACAAATTGAAAATTTCATCTCAAATGCATTTCACAGATATATACATCCCCTCAGCTGACCCTAATTGGTACGTGCGTAGTTCCCTGTGTAGGCGGTATAGCGGTTATTTATGGACGTTATGTGCGAACTATCACTCGTACGTTATTAGATAAATTCGCTGACATTTTTAAATCAGCCGAAGAAAGGTTAAGCAATGTTAAAGCCGTAAAAATTTTTTGTAAAGAGGATTATGAGACAAATAATTTCAAGAATTTATTATCGGATGCTGTAAAACTGGGCTATAAGGACGCTATGGCTAGAGCCATGTTTTTCGGATTGGTATGTTTCTTTTTGCCTTAAAAGCAACTGAATGCTCAAATTTGTTAAATATTTGACAGACTGGCATGTCGGGCAATGTTATCATAATTTCGGTTTTATACTATGGCGGCACGCTTGTAGTCAACGATATTTTATCAATTGGAGAATTGACTTCGTTCATTTTATATGCTGGGTACTCAAGTATATCAATTAATGGACTTTCAAATTTTTATACTGAATTAAATAAAGGAATTGGATCGGCTCAGCGCATTTGGGATATATTGGATCGTAAATATGAAATACCATTAAATTTTGGTATAATGCCGAGCGAAAAACCGAAGGGTCAAGTAGTATTTGATAATGTCAAGTTTTGTTTTCCGGCTAGACCACAGAATAAAGTATTAGACAATTTTACGCTTGTTTTAAGACCAGGCGAGACAACCGCCTTAGTAGGTCGCAGTGGCTCCGGAAAAACGACCGTGGCTACCTTGCTTTTAAGGTTATACGATCCTTTAAATGGCCGCATTGCGTTAGACGACGTAGACTTAAGAGAGTTAAGTCCGATTTGGTTGCGATCTCATATAGGAGCTGTGAATCAAGAACCCGTATTATTTTCTGGCACAATACGCGATAATATTTTATATGGTCTAAATCCAAATGCAAACTTCACTGAATCCCATTTCGAAGAAGCAGTTCACAAAGCACACGTTGATGAGTTCAGTTCGCAACTGCCGGATGGTCTTAATACTTTAGTTGGTCAGCGGGGCGTGCTACTAAGCGGTGGCCAGAAACAAAGGGTAGCCATTGCAAGAGCTCTAATAAAGGTACATACCATCATAACATTTACATAGATATTAAATACATCGAAATATTTCAGAATCCCACTATACTCATATTAGACGAAGCGACAAGCGCTTTAGATTCAGTGTCTGAAGAATTGGTACAAAATGCTCTAGATGAATTGGCGAAAGGCCGTACCTGCTTAACGATAGCCCACCGTTTAAGTACAATACGTAACGCTAATACGATTGCAGTGTTAGATAATGGTCATGTAATCGAGCAAGGCTCCTACGAACAACTTATTGCACAGAATGTGGGCACTTTTAAAGAATTGGTTAAAAAGCAAGCCTTTCTAATGAATTCATGATAAAAAAATTGTTAGTTTATGCTAAATCGGTATAATGTATGCTACGGGTTATGTGTGTAAAATGAAAATACTATTTTTTTTGGATTTGACCTTAGAATGAATGCTTGGACAGACTGTTTGTATCATTTTTAGTGACAATGTTATATAATATAACCATAATATATTATTTTTGTTAATAAATTTATAAGGAAATCATTTATTTAAATTTTTTGGTACCTCAAGTACGACTTTACTTTGCTTTTTCCTTGCTTAGGAGAGTACGAACGTTTAGTACACTAAACAAGTATAACTTCAGCAACTAAGTGAACACGCCATGCTTGTACTATTGAATTTAATCGAGATTACCGGTGAATACTCTCAAAACAACCGCGCAATAAGATATAGGAACACAGTAAGAAAATATATGTTTATGTAGGTACTATTTTTTTTATTTTTTTTTATTTTTTTTTTGTATGTTGAATGGAGATGGAAATGTAGGTACTATATCTTAGATTGTCGAGCGCGTGAGCTCGTGCAGGTTGTTCTGTGCTATTAGCTTGATTCAATAGTAATGGCACTTCAGAAGAAAAACAATTGACTAATTATTTTCAACTTTATTTGGAACTTTAAATTAAAACTAATATGAAGTATGATAGAATTAGCGACAATAACAAAATTTCTTCATTAATTAAAAATACCGCGGACATGCATATTATTGCAGAAAATCGGAACACTTACTGGCCAAATGTATTAATAAAGAATAATATCCAATTGTACAAAATCAGTTATGTTACAGTGAGGGGCAAAATATTGTGTGCATTATAAAATACAACTCAATGAAATGGGAATAATACAACGAAAAATATAGTTGAATTGATTACAACAACAACAAAAAAATAATACAAAATATGAATTAAAAATTGAGTATAAACATAGTTTATGATCTGTCTTGTCGTATTTGTACGCGCAAATTTCACGTGTCTATTTGGAATTGTGTGTAAATTCGTTTGCTTTTTAGAAGCGGTGGGCATTGGCATCTTTTTAAAGACTTCTAGCCGATATTCAATTCTACTCTACGTTTTCAGATACGTGGTATATGCCCGTTAAATCCATCGTTCCATCTAGGTATATTTACTATTGAACACAAGACCTTCTTGAAACTAATACTTCTGCTGTCGGTTGCTTTATAAAGTGTCTTGATTTCTTTTCTCGAATTTTTTTCTTATTTTATACCCATCACTGTGAGATGGTGGTATACTCATTTTGTTTTTTTTTTTTTTTCATAACGTATGTAACACCCAAAAGGAAGCTCCAGGAACCTTATAACGTATATACATGTGAAATTCAGTGTGAAATTCTGAATTTATTTAGCAATGTCCGTCTGCGTGACTGCGTAGTGGTCGTTGTTGACATTGTCTTGTTCGCAAAAATGAAGATATCGACTTCAAATTTGGAAAGTTTGCACGCAGGTTGCAAGACAGATTGGCTAAAAGTATTTTGCACCTTCCTCAAATGAAAATATCTTATCTGCCTAAATATGGGTTAATTCTAAAATGAACATGGTACATATCGCGACCAGGTGTATTAATTTTTTCTCAATAATGGCAGCGATATGGGTAGCAAATAAAAGAACTTTGAGAGTCGAATGCGAAAGACGTAGCAGTAGGTATGCGAGATTCGGCCTCTGCCGAATATAACTTTCTAACTTGTTCTTTTATAATAATTAACTACAATTTGTCTATAGGAGAGATATTGAATTATCAATAATTGCGTATCATCTTAACAGGGAAAAACTATATACAATTTTGCTAATGGAATCCATCAGAAATTTAAAACACTTGGGCTGAATAATTTTATTACATCTAATATACAGTCCGCTGAATAATGTTTAGCTAATTTCGGAAAAGATTGTAAGACCGGGCGAGCTGCCTGCGATAATCTTCTATAAAGTTAACTAAAGTTTTTTACACAGTAGATACGTTTCTTAGGAAAAAAAGTCAAAAGTAAAAATGTACATGTGGTATACGGTAAATTTGGGGATATGTTCCACAATTTTAAAAAATCGTGTACGATGAAGAAACTCCAAATATTTTCCCTCTTCCTCCCAATATTTCCGGATGTTTCGTTTTTAGCCGAACAAGGTAGCTTTTATGTATATGAATATTATCCCAAATTTGTATTCGTAAATGCAAAAATATGTTGAAATTGTAAATGGTTTTGCGATTACTCTGTTTAATGCGCTACAACTGATAAAAGCTATTTGCAGTGAACGGTATCCGATTTTTGTTTGTTCATTCGGCTGGTTTACAAAATTTCAATCTTAAATTATGATCAAAAATGGGAAGAAGAAGAGAATGGAGAATGCACTATTATGCTGCAATGAAATGCCGTTAATCGGAATTCAACAAAAATTGAAATCTGTTTATTAAACTGAGCTGTGATGCTCTAACTGCAAATACGTGGCTTCACTGTTTTCACTTCCTATCGAGAATGTTGAAGCGAAACGATTTTTATTTTAAGAGACATTTTCTTCTTTGCTGCGCTATAGTTTTCTCTTTTTTCCTTTCCATTTTCGTTGACACTTGTATATGCAAGATTCGCTTAAAAATAAAAGAGTTTTCATTAACGAGCAGTTAGCTGATCGTTTTCTGGCTCTCTCTTAAATCGGGTTTTAATTTACTTTGAAGTGAGTGATCTTAGAAGCGCTTGTGGCAGCATGCAATGGTGAAAGAGGTCTGCTTTTAGAACCTTATTGCTGACAGTTTTCACAGTTTTCAATAGCAGAGTAAACGCACTATGACGCGTTAAAAAAAAACGGTTGTCAATATAAAGCAAATAACATATATATATATATGAAAATAATTTTAATTTTTTTTTCGTTCGGAGTAATTAATTAAAACGAAATCAAGAGAAATTTACAATAACAGGAATTTTCTTAATTTGCTTATTAATTGCAATTTAAATCTTTCGCAGAAATTTTGAAAATCATTGTTTCTCCTCTTCCGAAAAGTGTATAAGATATGTGTAAATATATATGTGAAAGTTTGAAGTTAAAAATGGGGGAAAAAAATTCGTAAAAAATGAATCAATTGAAAAGAAAAAAGTGATGAATGAAAAATAAAAAGTTGAAAATCTTTATTGTAAGTCATTTTGCATGTTAAATTCTCCGGCCCGATATCCTAAAACTAGTGTCTCGCTCAGAAAGTGCACAGAAAGACATTTTAACTTGAATTAAAAATTTTGCAAACTTTTTTTTGTAATCGACGAAGAAGAAACAAAAAGTGAAAAATTTATTAAATGCCGTTAACTAAAATTGCTTATCTTATTAAATAAAGCGAAGCCATTTCACATTTTTCCCGTTTAAAGTCGATTAGCTTGTTAGCGGATTAATGTATTATGAAATGGATTATTAATTGAAAGCTGTTTCTCTAAAGAGTAAGCTTCATCGTATTTTTATAAATATATTAAAAATATTTAGAATTTACTTGAAATCTACCTGTTCCCACTTTTTTTTCTCACCTTTTTTTTTTTTTTTTTTGCTTGTATCTTATGATCGCGCTTTTTTGCGTCGCCTTAATAACGCTCCATTTCTTGTTTGGCGTGACATTCTTCGAATTTGAAATGGCAAAAACAAAAAGAGAAGAAAAAAAAAATACCAAAAACATGAACACAATGCGAAATATCTATTTGAGTTTAACAAATGCCGGGAGTTCAAGTTCGCAAGAAGCGAATTTAGTTAAAGCAGTTAGTTATCATTAACGTTATTCGCTCTCTTAAATCAAAAAGCAGAAGTTGCCACTTAATCCGTATCCAAGTTCGGTTCACTTATATATTTACATGGGCAGGTAATGAGCTCTAAATTTGAAAAATTAAAAAAAAATTAAAATGGACTTAATTAAGCCCATCTATCCACCCTTTAGAGAGGTTGACGACATGCTATATGTTTTAATCCTTTCGTAACAACCATTCAAAATACACGTTTGAGAGTTCCGCTACAATATATACATATATTTTTGATAAAAAATTGAAATTCAGTCCAATTATTCTTCAAGTGTTCAAATCAAGTTTGCTGCTTGCGATGGGTGCACGAATTGTCTGTGCAAACTGAAGAGAATGCTTAAATGTCGATATAACATAATCGATCGCTTGAAATTGTAATGGATGGTTGATTTTCTACAGTTCTCGTAAATTCTCACTGTGTTCTTGGAACTATTGTATAAGTCATCGGACACATCGATCAATAACTCCCGGAACTAAGTACGAAAAACATTTAATCATTGACAACAGTCGTCTTCGAGACAGATTTAATCAGTTCATCGCGTCTCGTAACATTTCATTGACCTTTTTTATTAAACGATTTGTCCGAAATGTCAAAGTTTGTTTCAGTTTTCACAATAAGCTCTACATATGATTGAAATCCTTCCTCCCGGATCATTCTTTTAAGATTTGCGAACAGATAATAGCTCCTATTACGGACCAAATAATAAAAATACAATAATAATAATGTTGACTTTGTCCGGGAAGTAATGATCGATGTGTTATAATTTAGAAATGGACTCTCGTGTCTTAAATGAAGGCATTTTTCGGTAAAAACTTAATGTTTACCATTGTACGGGATCCCAAGTCTTTGAAGTTTGTTGGAAAAATTCTTTGCAGCTTTATAGTTTTCCTCCAAAAGATTCACCTCATTTTTAATACCTTGATCGATAAGTCGCAGTATTGACGACATAACAGTTGTTTCTCAACAAAAAAATAATAAAAAATAAATTTATATTATACTTCGAAAGAACGCCTGTCAAAATTCCGTGCCATCGTTCGATCGTTTGCCGACGAGTTACAGTGATTCCGATCACTCTTTTTCGGTTCCTTGCTTCAATTGTCTGTTAATCTTGAACGAGGTCGTACGGGCACCGACGATACTCAAGACAGAACGCTCTAAAAATGCCAAAGCTGAAGTTGCAGAACATAGCGGCATTGTTTTGCGCATGAGAAAGTTTCAGAGCGTTCGCTGCCGTATCCTGTAGGTCTGATTACCACCGTCCTAAATCTCAAAAGCATGTTAAACAGTATAGGACTTGGATTAAATGAAGAGATCATTGTAGCAACAGATCATTTTGTATTTTTCGAGGTCTTCACACAAAACAAGCATCGGAATGCTAAAAAAACTGATGAGCTGATTGTGCTACTCTTGAAGGAGGAGGCCCAAAAAAAAAAAAGAAAAGAAAAACGGTTTCTTTACTTAATCCCCGAATTGATTGTTCGATATGCTATCCCTAAACTCGAAGGGGAAGTGAAGCTTGTTCCGCACCCTGTGCTTCCGGAAAAGTCATGACACAGTTTGGAAGGTTTGCGTTTTGATTAAAGAGTCTTCAATTGACAGTTTAAATTACATTCCAATGCTAGTAATAGGTTTAAATATATTAAGCTTTCATTAAGCACAAAAAACTCATTCATATTTATTGCGTTCGTTCAATTCGCGCCTCACACACACTTTAGCTGTGACTTTGTGGTCTATGCTATGCTATGCTATGCTATGGATATAATGTTTTGTTTTTGCAGTTTCAGTTCAATGAAGAGTAAAAAAATTACTTTATATGATTTCCGACTGCTTAAATATTTCGAAAAGATTCTCGCATTCGTGAAGAAAAAATTTCGATTTTTAAATTTTTCGCATAACGACTTTATTTGTCAGCGAATTACTTTCTTCTCCGTAAAGAGGAGAACTTAAATTATTTTATAATCTGGCAACTGGTAATCTGCTCTTTTGGCTTAATTCTCTTTCATCGTTTTTCTCTTTCGTAATTATTTCCCGATCCTCAGCAAAGGTATAAAATTTGATGTTAACTGAATGTAAGAGGGCACAACATTTTGAAAGGATACGAATTTTGAAAGTGAATATGAAAAAACTGCAAATCCTCTGCAACCAATTATGGTGCGCTTCTCTCTCTCTCTCTCTCTCTTCTTTCTCTTTTGCCATCTCACTATTTATTTATTTATTTATTTATTTATTGTGTGTTGTTTTGTTTTCTTGTTTTTAAACAAGCATTCACATACGTGCATATGTGAATATTATATTGTATTGAATAGCTATTGATTGCTTGTGCTTGGCGTAGACGGTAAAGATACATTCAAACAAAATTTATGTTATTGTGTATTATAGGTATGTTTATTGGGGCTGGTTGGCTTGGTTGCCTTACCGGTTATAAGTGGCACGTTTTAAATTGACTTTGAAAGCATTAATGTTGGTTTACTTTGTACCTCTGGACTTGGTTTCTTATGAAATTATTTTCCTTTCCACATGCATAAGCGTACATATGTACATATATAACGCATATGGATTTCTAAGTCAAGCGCATTTTATTGTGAAATTTGTGCATTTAATTTCTTTCCATTTACCTAAATGGTCAGCTATGAGATCGTTTACCTTTTTATAAACGTGCGTGTGATGCGTGTGTTGCGATTTTCCAGAAAATCCGTAACACCGCACCCTAAAATGGTTTAGAAAATTCGTGTCATTGCATTTATTCTGTATATACATATATACATACATACATATATATATATATATATATATATATATATATATATAAGATGATAATAACAACAGCGTTGATCGTTACGAGGGGGGCATATTTTTGAATCTGATTTAAAATATTTTCTCTCAAGACGTCCTAACCGTCGTGGCGGTAATTTTATTGTTATTGATATTTTATTGTACATATATTTTTTTTTTTTTTGTTTTTTTTTTTTTTTTTTTTTTTGGTTTAGCATTCAGCGGCTTATTTACCTTTCATTTCTCTTTTTGGTACATGCGTCGGATATTTCTTGCTTCTGCTGCTTCTTCAGTAATAGTGGTGTACTATACATGAGTCGGATAGTGTTTTTTTTGCAATGTTTACCGAGTTCAATAGCATTAATACAATACATTGCATATAGCTGAGCGTGGGGATTGTCTCTATTATTTAAAGCAAACAAAAGAGCCATATTCACCTTGAGGTGAATCTCGAGTAGTTACCATGTTAACAAGATATTAGATAGTCTAATATTTATTGAGCTTTTATCATCAACTCACTTAACTCGTATTCATATGCACTGACCTAAAAGGAGCTGACTAATGCATTTCTTCTAAAAGGATCGATACTTTTTAGACTATCTAATATAAGATGAAAATAAAGATTTTTTGTAATTATTGCATTTTCTTAGCCGCTGCTTTTTTCTAAAGCATACCGCGATCACTTTCGTAGAATATACATATATAATTATATATTATAATTATGTTATATATACATATAATTATAAAATTTCTTAAGTTTTCAAAGGAAGTTTTCGTTTGTTACCGCATTTTAATTTGTATTTGTATCGCAGTAAGCGGATCGCGACCAATTTATGGAATTATATCTAAAGTGTTCATTTTTTATCTTAATTTTTACGCCGTAGAGAGTACAACAAGCACAAGCAAACAAATCGATAACATTTTTCGCAAATATCTTATGATATTCCTAATACTTATGCCGCGCTATTACAGATTTTGTAATGTCCGAAACATGCACTTCCTCTTCCTCTTATATAACATAACCCAAGAAAGCTTAATAATTATATAATATGAACAACACCAATGAACAACAACGTGAACTATATTACATTATATGAAAACCTTAACCCTAATCGGGCGATATGGTTTTTTATAACAAATTCTACCACGATGAGCGTCAGAGGCTCACAGTCAGAAAGAAATCCAATATCGTGGGCAGGAAGTTGTCTATTGTTTACAATCATTTGTTTATCCAAAAAAAATGGGCGAAATGCTTAGGTTGAACGCAATGACGAAAAGATTTAAAAGTTCTCGACCTTTCCTTAACTGTTGATTTTCGGACTACATTTGGCGAGAGTGAATGGAGATTTGAATAATTTTGACGGATTTTATGATTTTGTGATCGTAATTATGAATTTGAGTTCGATATGCTTGATATAAATAATTGTTCTGTTAACATTGATCAAATATATATTGTGCGTAAGCATTAAAAATATCTAACAAATATAATAAAGTTCCTACGATGGGTAAAAATATTGATCATTCCTCTTTTCTACAATCGGTTTTCTTTTATTTTATATCATAAGAATCGTTAAAATATTTAGCCTGCATATGAACCTATTTATGAACCAATTTATGCTGCTGAAAGTTCGTTTTAAAGTAAACGTTTCCTTCTCATATAATCGCTCATAAACGACGAAATCATTTAAAACTTGATTTAAATTGTTCATTTTGGCCGCAAGAGTCTCTATGAAAGAAAGTGTCTGTTTGTGCAATTTTAAGCGTCGCTTATCGCATTCAATTAATTTCAGCATCACTTAATAAAACATAAAAGTATTCATCCCTACATATTCTTAGCTTACATACATATATATATATATATATATTAGTCAGCGATTGGCAT